GCTATCGCAAAGTTCTGGTTATGTCCCAAATCAGTGAATCACTGCAGTGCAATCTTACAGGTTTGTAAAAATCCCCCATGCACAAAGCGGTCCATATGTCATTAAAGGAATTGCATAATTCTGTTATTAAAAATGCGACTTTTTATGCAAGAGTACCCCCTAAGGCCCTAACCACAGATGGAATGTTCCATCTTTGCCGGAATATAGAATTAAATACATTATTTGTGGAACTTTCCACTTGAGGAGTTATACAAAGATTTTAAGCACTTAACAACGCTAAACATTAGCTTTAAAAATAGAGTGTATATCCTAGAGGACCATGACCATATCATATTCTCTTACTTCCATCTGTTTTTGATTGCCTGAATCCTGATACGACCATGACAGTGGTCAAGAATCTGTGCTAAGAAAAGATGAGCAGCTCCATAAATATCACAAACTTCTGACGAGGCAAGGAAAAATATCTGCCAACTCACTACAATTGCGTCCCGACAGAATAAAGCGAGAGGATACACAAGGCCTAGGCAGCCAAATCTTTTGATTCCAGGTGCATTTTCTGCAGCATTATTGCGGTTCTGAAAGGAAACATCATAAGTGCAAATTCATGTCTAGCATGAGATGGAGCAGGGGAGAACTTCCTTGCTTTCTTTGAAGCTCAAAGACTGACTTACATACACGCTTCCTTGGTCGGCTTTCAATGTGCCTGCTCATTCATGCACTTGGGGAGGTGGATTTAAAAATATTTCCTTTGACCAGAAATGCAAAAATCGCTCAAACAATCATCAAGATTACAACCCAAATGAAAACCACAGAATTTGCTTGAAAACCACAGAATTTGCTTGAAACAAAGTTTTTGCAATCGCAATCTCAATACAGAGACAAAGAGGCAATTATTAATATTATTAACAGATATTGAAAATCAATTGTCTGCTTATTGACTGCTTTTAAAGGTGGATTTTAACAGATCTTTTGATCATGAAAAGTAAGGACAACACAAAGCGTAAATACGCGGACATTTTATTTTAAGCAACAATATTTTTAACAATTTATCATTATCATCCCTATGCCAATGTGTACATTTCGGTGAAAAGAAAGGAGGAAGGTGTATTCATATTTGGCTTTAAAGGTACTATGTCCCATTTGCAGCCAACGTCAAATTCTGTAGAACTTTGCAGGAATTATGAATATGTCATGTATGTCCTTTCTGTGAAATCTAAACTTTAGCAGTGTCCTATTATTCAAATTATGGAAGGAAACTCGTTTACTTCACTATCAAACACTATTGAGTGACTGACTGATTTTTTTTATTCTTCAGTAATAACATAAAATGTACATAAAATGAGCTGTAAAGGTACATAAGCATTTATTTGTCTTCATTAATAACCCACTTCTTGTAATGGCCTAAATTAAACTGATGCATGTTTGCGCAGCACAAAACGTACAACCATTCGGTACAAGGGTCTGAAAATCAGACAATTACAAAAATGATTGCAATCACTTAAGTCAAATTGACAACTAATTTATTTTCCCACTAAAAGACATTTTCAATTTTCATTTTTTGAATACCCTGGCTATAGCTCTCAAATCCATAGCACTCGAGGTCTTTAAGGAATAAATCCTACCAGGTATTCAAATTACTTTTCATGGGTGAAGTGTGTCAAATATTAGTTCTGCAGTGGGGATTTGAACCCGTACCTTTGTGGTTCACAGGCTTATCCACTAGACAAAAACAACACCTCTACAACTTACATTGCACTTTCAATGAAACATGAGAAACAAATGGTAAAGAATGGAGGCAGCAAGATCGAACAGGAGGCTGACTTTAGAAGAGCCAGGTTTTTTGAAAGATCATTTATTAAGATAAGCCAAGCACCACCTCATTAAGACCACCTGTCCATAATGGTCATTATGCATAGTCATTGCATACCAATACCTGGATGACCATAACACACAGGTGCAACCACCACCTGTCTCTAGTGGTCATTTTTCATACACATTATTGGGTGACCATAATACACAGGTGTAACTCTATAGGCACAGGTGCACGTTGAAACACCACCCTGCACGCCCTCAACAGCAAACACTAAAGCGTGCTGCCACAAGGCTGTCAATCCTCATCGAAAACTTCTCAAAAGCCGTTCATTTTTTCTCAGGTCATTCACCGATCAGGCTCAATCGGGTCATTAACTTGACAACCCACGGCACATTTTGTGATGTGTGCCAGTGCAAAGTCATACACCGCCATGACTAACTGATTTCACCCCCAGCACCAGAGGCTTGGAATACTGCAGTATCAGCCAGCCCAAATGTCTGACCAAGGACACGCCTTAATGAGTCGATTAGGTCAACCAACACTGCCGTACTGGCCCATATCCCAACATTCCCATTTGGAATTTATTTTCTCCCCATCTCGTGATTTTCTTTTTTGTTCTCGCCCATTTTCAATGGAGAGAATTCTTCTTGTATGAAATAGTTTCCTTTTAAGCTCCCCATCTTCATCTGTGTTGTCTTGTTTTGCTTTGCCAGGTAAATATCAATTATCAACAATCAAGATCTCCCTTTGTGTACGTCTCTTTCAGTTGATTCTTTCCCCCTCTTCTCTCCATCTTTGTCTTTCTCTCTCTTCTGACTCTCTCTCTCTCTCTCTCTCTCCCTTCTCTCTCCTCTCTCTCTCTCTCTCTCTCTCTCTCTCTCTCTCTTGTACTCTTTCCATTCTTGTTTATTGCAATAAAACCTATGATCTTTAATACTTTATAAAGAATTCCTTTAAATGGACAAGAAAACGTTAAAATATACACCAGAAAAGGTTCAAACTAAGCCATTCTCCTCACTTCAAAATTTATAAAAAGTAATTTACAACATCACTGCAGCACACCCACACACATATATATATGTGAAGGCTTCATGGGCTTACGCTTGTGAGTGATTGTGGACTGATACAGACTAAAATAATTATGCCTCATGACTGGAAGCACAAGCAAATGACTACAAAATAAGCCCTTACAGTGCAAGTTTTTCTGCACTTTATGAACTACTCCGAGTCAGACTGAACCCAGACAACGTCCTGACTTGGGCTCGGCCTGTAAGCCCCTCCCCTCTTAATTTCTTACTCAGATACATACTGTAAGTATGAAAGGGTTTATTTGCAAGTTTATATAGCTATTTTTATAGAGGTTGGGTTTCCTGGGGCATGTTATTTCTACAGTATCCATGCAAACACAACAGAATTTGGTTGTATTCAAGACTACCAGGTACCAGGTAGAGTTAGATGTACAGTAGTGGCATTAAAATCATCACTTGTACTACTGTATGTTCTAATAAAGCATGAAGTCAATGTCCCAGGTCAGTTTTATTAACTAATTTAATTTATTTATTATCAAAACCTTCAAGTTACAATGAATTTCAGCACATTTGGTAAATGGAGCAAATAAATAGAAAGAGCAAGTCAAGGTCGGCCCTGTTCAATCACTAAGAGTAAACATTGAATCATAAAGAAGTATTTTTGTTTTGCAATGTTTGCACTAATGATGAAATGATTCTGTTTTTATGAAAAATAAGTCATAAGTTTATAACTCAATTAAAAGTATGTACAATGTAAACAATCTGACTGGAATATTTTGAAGCATATTGTACAATTTTTACAATAGATCAGGGAATAATTTTCCTCAAATTTTTTGATTAGCAATTTCAGCCGATGGATGAATATTTAAAATGAAATTCTGTACATTTCTATGGAAGAAAACTGCTACACAAAAGATATTTTGTATAGCAGTCATGCAAAAATGCATAGCAAATTGCGATGCGATACCAGGAAAATTATTCCCTGTAGATGCATCAATAGAACAACATCTGTTCTGAATATTTTTCTAAAGCTTTTTCATGATGAACATTTTCTCATTTCATTAGACAGAGCATTCCAAAGACAATAATATATGCATCAGAAATTCAGAATATAATTCCTATGATTGTTCTTACTTTTTTATGAGATTGATACGATTTTCATTGGTTCTTGTTTCATATTTGCATGTTGTACAAATGTAAAATAATCTATACAAATGATGAGGAAGTTTAGTATTTAGATAAAGAATGCAACCATAAGATAATATCGTTTGAATTCTCTGTTAAAAGACTGCAATCTTTCTCCAGCTAAATTCGAACAACATAATATCTGTCAACAGTTTTAAAAATATATAAAACAGTCCCATCTTTTTCCATAGAGCTACTGTAGTTGTTTTTCCTTTTTTGTCCCTTCTTCTTCTCATTGTATAGACCTAGATGTATGATCTATCTTTCTCCGACAAAGACGACAACAGTTGGCAAAAACTAGACCTGAAAAAGGCTAAAAATCAGTCTACTAGTACTACCTTTGAGGATATGTTTTAGCATAAACTTAGTTATAAAGACACACGTGTGTGGCAGTTAACAAAACTAAACAGTGGATTTCTAATTTAGTCTAGAATCTAGATTTTCAAAGTATTTTTTCCAACATGAACATCGTCATCAGTAATTGTATTTGGCATTTCAATTTGCTAGTTGATCTTGATTGAATTTTTGTGAGTTTTTTAACAGTGGTGTTTGATCATTTTGAGAATCAACAGAGGGTCTTGACATTGTTTATTACACAAAAACTATACTAGATAATGCTCTTATGAGTGGTCGGTGGCCGTGGTGGACAATGCGGGACCGTCCGGCAGGGCGTCTGTACCGAGGGCGAGGCGTGGAGCGGCCGCGCCGTTGCACATCCCGCAGCTGTTCCCAAGTAATGATGACTAAAGCACACGGAAAAGTATACGTGCGGGACCACAACATCGTGGTCTCGATAGTTAAAGCATTTTTTTTTTTCAACCACAGTTTCGCCTTTCGGGCACAATCTTTGAAGAAAACTACTATTCAGTCATACCATTTATACTACGACACATTTTCAGTAACTCTTTTATGCAAATAGACAAACTAGACTCTATAGAATTATTAAACTAGTATATAATACATTGGCGGTAGACTTACCCGCTGCTGAACGCCACCAGTCGATCCACAGATCAGTCAGATTACGTAACTCGACTTGTCGGTGATGCATATTGCATATATATGTCAGTGTGCGGAACTCTTCTTGAAGGATTGGGGGCTCTATCGGGGCTTGGGATTGCATGTTCTTCAACCAGGGGGAGGGGGGGGGGGTACTCACATATTAAGACATACGGGAGTGGGCCGCTCTAAATGGTTCCCTTTTTTACAAAAAATCCCTAACAATATCCCTAAACATGGCAGTTTTTCAAAATTTCCACAATTTTTCGCATGGCATCCAAAAATTGTGAATAATGGGCTTATTTCCTTAGATAGAAATCCCCCCCCTCCCCAATGACCCTTAAAAATGGGTAGGGGTTTTGAGGCTTAGGAATTAAGCACACCCCCGTCCAAATCAAATCTGAGTATTCCCCCAGGGGTTCTTCACTTTATTTTTAAATGGGAGCTTAAAAAAATATACAGATTTTTTTTTTTTTTTTTATAGATTCAGATACCGCCCACAAAATGACTTTTTGGTACCCTCCTCTCTTCAAATTGTTTTGAATCGCTCATACGTTAAATTTGTATCATATGAGTTGCATCAAATGAAAGATCTAAGCTTTAGAAATGTGTGTTATTTATTAATTATAATTGTGATTAAGTTATGATAAAACATCAATAATTCTTGATTTCGTTTTTTCTGGGACGCACTGTATTAAAAAATTAAAACATACATATTAGAATTCGCCAAGGTTATCCCAACTTCCAGACTTCACTTCATGACCAGGGTCATGCAGGTCAGAATATGGTTGAACGACGATTGGGGCATAAATGTACAAGTCAATTCACAGAATTAAAGCTAGCCCCCCCCCCCCCCCCCCCCACACCACACACACACACACACATGCACACACATTCCTGCCCAAAAGAATCCATGATCCGCGATGGCTATATAACAACCCTCCAAACCTAGCTCGATACTGATATCAAACTACTCCAGAGGAAAGCAGAAAAATCTGAGAAATTGATTGGTGAAAGTTTTAATGATGGGACATATTGTTTCAGCAGTGATACCAGTTGGTTTTACTCAGTGAGAATTATGCATTTGGGCCATGTTCTGTACAATATGGGCCTATGAAAAGCCAAAAGCATTCAGACAATAAATAGAAAACATTGCACCATGATAACTCCCATATGTCTTACCGGTAAATTAACACTCTTATGTCTTTTGAATATCAAAATATTAAAATAATATCAACATTGTAATATCTTTGAAATATACTGAGCTATAAGAAAACAAAAAATGGCTCACACAAAACACATACCATAGAAGTATGGATCACAATTTTATATCACAAGATATTTACCAGTCATTGTTTGTACAATAAATAAATTGAATACCATATAGTCTTGTATTTATATATGCACTAAGAAGTTGACATTTGCTCTGTAAACTCATCAACCTCAATCTTGTGACAACATATGGGGCCTCTTTCTTCACACCCAAGTAGATGAAATTTCTGCAGAATGACTTAATAATGATCATGATATCAAAATTTGGTCATGGACAAAGCAATTAAATCACATTTTCAAATTTGAAGAGTACAGATGTAGGTCTTAACAGATCACACAAGTTTTGGAATATTATTATTAATAATGAGGACTGTATATGGCCAAGTAACAAAAGTAAAGCGTTTCTCGTCCGGAATTTTGTTTAAAGGAGGAGTCAGGGCTTTACTAATGAGAGCAATTATTTTACTAAAAGTCTTCTATTTTCAGTGATTTTCTTGAAAACCCGCTGGGGCTAGAAACCAAACCTAGAAATAAAAATTCAAATTACATTCAATAATGCTCGAGGGTCCAGACCAAAAGAGACATATCAAATCCTATAAGACAGCAAACTGCATCCTTATGTAACAAAACCAACTGACATCAAATTAAAGAAACTTTAAAATGTCTTGATTTACAAGGGAATTAAGTCTTCAGATTTTTGTTAAGTGCTTATAAACATTGTTTTAAGCACTTTATAAATGTAATATATTATTATCATTATTAAACAGACTGTATTTTATAAATATCTCATGTAAATAATTAAATTAAATCTTTCAACAACAAAAAAAATTGCATGTGATTGCATTTCACAAAAAAAGATATTATGTGTCTATTAAGTGCCCAGGCCTTTCTACCTATTGACATTTAATGGAAACCACATAGGTTCCATTCTTTTACAAACAACATATGTATACGGTATGTTTATCAATACACTATCAATACACTATCAATACACAAGCTACTTCTTCAGCACACGTACATAATTTGCAGATTCTAATTGCATTTCATAAGATATTACCATCTATCCTACTACACCTATTGCATAGAGCATGATTACATTTAAAAACAAGAATACAAATAAATTGATTTGTCTGCACCAAGTTTAGAATAATTACAGATGCGACATCACAAAAACACAGATTAATAAATTTCAGTAGAGCCTCTTTATATGGACAAGGTCCTTGGGACTCTGGAAATTACTGTTATATCAGGAATCTTGTTTTATCAACGCAAAAAAACATAAAATGTAAAAAGCTAGGACCAGCAAATCACCTTGTTATAACAGATACCTTGTTATATTAGATCTCTTTTTAAAGAGGTTTTGCTGTATAATATTGCTATCTATGTATACACATACAATATATTCTCACTTTCAGTTTACTATATACTAGAAGAAATCATGAAGAAGAAAAAGTGAGACTGCTCATAGAGTGAGAGTATGACGAGATAAGACAAATGCAGCTGTGTCTCCTATAGATGCCTCCGCCCTAAATTCAGTATAGGAAATGGATGGAATTATTATAGCGATAACGAGAAAGTGGGACGGACAGACGGACATACGAACGGACAACCTGAAAACATAATGCCTCAGGTACCACATTTGGTGGGCGCAAGCATAATTAGTAAACAATGCTGGCTTTATCTCAGTATTCAAACCACTTTCATTAATTAACAGCATTATGACCTGCATCTACCACATCCTGGTGTATATGTTTTATCACATATTTATCACTTCCAAATTAGAATTCAACGGGTAATATAATTCGAACAAGGAAACAATTTGTAATTTGATATTACTCTTTTGAAACCGAATATGAAATAAAATCACTTCCAACAATTCACAATCAACCATTCAAACAGCTTACCGGTAATTGGTTCACAATCTGATATCTAATGCTTATATTTACTCCAAAGTCAGAATTGAACAGTAAATGTGTAATATTGTGACATTATTAATACAGCAATGTTGAAAAAAAACCTTGAATTAAAAATACTTAAACAATATTCAAACAGCATTCTCATCATTGGTTCACAAAAAATCTTTTTTTTTTTAATCACTACAGAGCTCAGAAAAATTATGTCAGTATGAAGAAAATTTGCAATTTGATAAAGATATGATAAAAATTGCATCAAAATCACTTTTAAAAAATTCAAAAAAATTCATTCAAACAGCATGGTGATTATTGATTCACAACCAGAAATCTCAATATTTTTATCAGCCAAAAGAAAGAAGTAGAATGATGTCAGTATGGAAGGAATTTGCAATTTGCAACAATATTCACATCGCTCACACAGGATATCGGTCATTTTACAACTAAAAATCTCAAGGTTCTCTCTCGTCCAAAGTCGGAATTTACCAGAAAAATAATCCTAGTGCAGCGAGAGATATTGCTTCATAGAAACTGCTTGATTTAAAATCACCTTCAACAATATTCATGTGATTAAAACAGCATACTAATTACTCCTAGTAGTTCACAATGAATCATTTTTCTCAATATTTTTATGACCCCCAAGTCTGAATTGACAGCATTCATGTAATAGTTGGATATTTCATTTCAAACTAAGCTGCTACATTATGCCTTCCTACTCCTGATAAAGTCTCTCTTGCAAACTCAGCTCGGCAGAGTCAAGGTTCAAAGTTCAAAGTTCAAATCCACATCCGAATGTCTCTCTCACATGAAATCAAGGTCAAGGTTTCCAGAGTCCAGTGAGATGGTGCTTCCAAACTCTTTGCCCTTGTGACTCACATCTAGGTCAGACAGGTCTCTCTTGCAAACTTAGCACGGCAGAGTCAAGGTTCAAAGTTCAAAGTTCAAATCCACATCTGAATGTCTCTCTCACATGAAATCAAGGTCAAGGTTTCCAGAGTCCAGTGAGATGGTGCTTCCAAACTCTTCACCCTTGTGACTCACATCTAGGTCAGACAGGTAAAGGCTGAGGTCATCTGTACGGTGCAGGAAAAGAGAAAGAAAAGATAATGTATTATCTTGGAAGAATGCTGGGTTTTCAACTGCTTCACTAACTGATCATGAATTCAATAATAACAAGTCAATTTTTCAGACATATATATGGAGAACTTAAAAAGCTAATTGCATCAGCAAATGAGCAAACGCTACAAATTACAGGCACGTAAAAAATAATAGTCACATCTCATATTCTATGCTAAAAAGAAGACAGATGGTTTTGATAAACTAATATATAACACACACAAAGCGCTACTAAACTGGTAAACATTCAACTATACCCCGGATCACAAGAACATTTTTAAAATATTTTTTTAAATGTCAGTGTTATAAAATTCTTTGTCTTATGAGAGGTATTTGGTGAATTTCAATGACTAGTCCAGGACAATTACCCCATTTAAAATTATTACCAATTAATAAAGTGTCCCTTAGACAATTTAGGGAGGAGATACTATACGGACTAGTTATTCGTCCAAGTAGTAACAATTTGTGAAGTTCAGAAAGATTTAATCTGGATATACTACGACTCAGTAGCTCTTAATTACAACCCTCACCTTGGAAATCATCGACATCCTCATCGTCTTCATCATCATCATCAACCACCAACTGGTTTCCTCCTCCACCCTGCATGCTCCGTCTCCTCTTCTCCTCATCATCCTCCTCCTCCTCCCCATGACTGATGCTGAGAGGCAGAGAGATCTCAGAGCTGCTCAGGTCATCGATGCTCGTGCTACTTCCGTCGCTGTTCCCTATTTTGGTCCCTATTTTGGCCCCCCTTGTCATCTTCTTCTTTCTGTCCTGGTAATGATGATGTCCCGATCGTTGCCATGGCGACGATGCAGCTATCGGCCCCTTGGATGAGGACATAGAGGAAGGATAGGACCTGTGTCGTCTGCTACCTAAAAAAATCAAAAGCAATGTGTAGATATTAGTACTTTGTATTCATTCCATTTATACTAGAAATGTTAGCCCTTAAAACACTTCTGCTTTCAAGAAATTTGAATAATCATTTCAAATAGCGCCTAAGGCCATTCCATGGTAGCTGCGACCATGAAAATCTCAGAATATGTAGTTCTGATATATAATTTTAAAACGGGAATAGCTGATCAATCGAGTGTAGTCAAGAAACATTGTTTTAAAGCTAAAGTAATATCAGTCTTGAGAGGGAGCTATACAACATAAAGAGTTTATTATTTACAATTTCATCACTTTAGACTCGATTTCAACCGTGACAATGATCATTGAATATTGTAAAATCGCATATGCATCCAATATTTTCATTTGAACCAATTTCATGACCCCATACCAAAACTTTGTATTACCTTTGAAGTCTTTTCCTGGTGATGAAACTTATTTTATCTACATTTAGTGAAAACAGATTGTAATCTTCTTATGGGGTAAGAGCTATAATTAGACCCCTTTGTTGCTATCATTATTAAAGATAGAATTGGATTTTACTATTATCAATAATAAAGTATCATAGATGGTATTATAAAGTAATTCTTTTCAAGTAGTTTATCGAATAGTAAAATATAAGTTAAGTAATACTTATATTGCTCTATCATCAGTAAAAGTAGGAGACATATATTTTCATTCCATATGCTCATATCACCATGTTTTCAATTGTATACCACATAAAGTGCATACAATTATATAATATAATGCACTTTATAAATGCAGCTTCACCACTATATTAACAATGTGAACACAAGTTAAAACATACTGATGCTGGAAGATACAGTGGTGGCGGAGACAGTAGAGGGCGCTGATCCATTGCTGGAGCGGGACACTTGAGAAGCACTTTCAAGCCTGCTGAATGAAGCTAGTAGCTTACTCATCTCCATCCTAGAACAAAGCAAAGGCAATAAGGAAAATAACCAATGCATATTTTACTCTAATTTCACCAATCAAACTTAAATCATGCTTGTACACATTATATTCAATTCCATTTTTCTCATCTCATTTTGTTATTTTATACTTGCATTGCATTTTACCTGCACTGTGAAAGCATGTACAATTCAGTCTATGACTGCCATTCATGTCTTTAATACACCTTGATTGAATTGAATTGAAAATTTATGTCACAAATTTTATATCGCAATTTCCCAGGCACAATTCTATTTCATATTTTATCTTTGTATTTATGAAAATTGATCAATTGAATTGAACTTGCAAATTGCCATCTTTTGCTAAAAGAGAAAATGCATAATGAAGTCTATCTTCTGAAAAAATATTTTTAAAATATGCTCAATTCAACAACAAAACAAAGCGATGAATAAAATAGAGACTTCAAACTCAAACATTCCCAAGAGATCATTCTGACTTAATTCTTTCATACATTTTAGAGGTAGAGCAGAGTTAATCTTACTTAAGATCTGTGATGTCTTTCTGGTCGCTGTACAGCCTGGAAGGGGGTTGATGAGAGCTTGAAGACAACCCAAGGTGATGGGATAGCACCAGCTGTTGGTCTGACTGTACCTTTCCAAGCTTCTAGGGGTTAAAGATGGGAAAAGAGAAAAATATGAGTGCGATTGTATGGACCTGAAACATTATCATGCCTTCCAACAATTCACAGCAAAAATTAGGAATCTTGCAAGGTAAATTAGGAATAAAGTCTCTTTTGTATACTTTTACACAGAAGCTTTCAGAAAGAGAGAGGTATCGAGGGTTCACAATAGTAGTTTGAAGGCCCAGAAATAGAAATCGTTCCTCCAAAATAGGAATTGGGTTGGCAGCTGTGCATCATGCATCGCCCTATCATAATAATTTTTTTGCAAAAACTTTATCTTTCAAATTTTCGCCTCCTCCTACTATGCAACGTATACTGTACTTGTTTTGAAACACATGTTACCCATACTCGATATCTAAAGGAAATAAATATAAATCAATCAATTATAATCCCTTTTAAAAATAATATTACAGGAAATCAGATTTTGATGTAGCATCTCATAATTGCTTAGACTTTATGTTATCAACAATCGTTTTTAATTCATGATTAGTCAGGATTTACTTGTGGAGAAATAGTTGAACTTCCTGAATGGGTGTACGTAAGATCCACTACATTACATATGCATGTAGAGGTGTTGTGGACTAGTGGATAAGTCACCTGACTGCAGATCACAATGTACGGGGTTCAAGTCCTGCCGCTGCACTGATGTCCTTTGGCAAGACGTTAATCTACATTTGCCACTCTTTACCCAGGTGTAAATGGGTACCTGATGTGCTTGAGCGCTAGCTAATTTGGCAGCTTTGCTACGACCAGGGTAATTTGTGTAAAGCGCCATGAGCGTCAGAGCTTGTCGGATACCGGCGCTATATAAATAACCATATTAATTATTTATTTTTTATACACAAAGTGCCCTGCTGGACACATGAAAACGCTTTCATATGAATATGACAGATATTTACCACCATCGCCACTACTAAATTGGCAAATCTATTTCACTACTAATATAATCTTCAATATCATCTTGAGAGCCAAAAGGGTAATAACTCTGTGTAAAAGTATAAGAATTAATGCCCTTCTGGCTCCAAACAGATAATAATGGATACAACATTAACATCAAGACTTGAGCTTTTAAAATATAATAATAGCAATAATAATAATAGGTATTTCTCTAGAACCGTTTATCTAGAGATTCTATTCCGAGGTGCATTAATTATTACTCCGGCTTTAGCCTAGCTGCCATTACAGCGCTCCAGCTTTTCAAGGAATTAATTCCTGCCAGGTACCCTTTTACTTCACCTGGGTCGAGTGGCAAATGAAGATTAATGCATTGCCAAAGGACATTAGTGCTATGTCGAGATCGAACCACAACCTTTGAATTTCAAGTCAAGTTTCAAGTCAAGTGCTTAAACCACTCGACTACCATACATAGGTATGATGAGGCCAATATGATTTACCCTATCTAGCCTGTCCATTCTCCGGCCATTCTCTTTCCCTTCCATCAGCTGACCGGTCACATCCATCTCTTGCTTGACCAGTCTTGTTCTCAGTGTCTCTATCTCATGATGGAGGGCGTTGTATTCTCCCTGCAGCGTTCGTTTCCTGCAACAAGGAACAGGATTGACCAAACGTGCAACATGAGAACATTTGAAAATTAGTCATTTTTAATTCTTCTACACTGAGTTTCATGAACTGACACAGAGGTAAAAATGAATAAATGAATCACAAATGAATAAATGAATAAAAAATAATATAATGGAAAATAAACTGACTTGAATTTTATGTCAACTTAACCAGTGTTTAATTTCAAAATACAGTAGCTGTATCTTCAGAACAATATATTAGACACTTATTCCTTACAAAAGAAAAAGTTAGTATTTATGCAAAGTATTAGCTTTATGGTCAATTTTTATAAAAATTGTTAAATCTTCATTATCTCAAAAATTTAAACTCTATCTTTACAAGTAAAATATTTTGTTGTTGTCTTTACTCTAACTGATTAGTTTTAAAAACTCCTTTTCAACGGATGAAAGTATATATAACTTATGAAAGTCCCATTCCAGAAATTTGTTTTAGTAATATCTGACCCAAATTAAAAAAAAATGCTCAAGCCTATTATTATTTCTAAATGCTTATTTTTTAAATAAATATATATCCTTACACTTCATGGAGATCTCTGGCAAGCATTGCAAGAGCGCCCTCACTGTTGTACGCATCGCTGCTTCCACCGTTTGTCATCTGTCTTGTGACTCGCTCATGGAGTTCATCTAAACGATTCCTTACATCTCTCTGCCAACCTTCAATCTGCTGTTCCGTCTGCTTTGAAGTTTCAATCAAGAAGAAATGTCAAAAGGTTGGAAAATCTCTTTAATTATACACAAGAGATTTTGAGTAATCAATTTATTAAAAGTTTTGATAAGTTATTAATGTACAGTAAGATGAACTGAAATCCATAATAATAATACATTCTTTTTTATGAGCATATATATCACATTATGATACATACTTTCTTTGTTCAATATATAACATTATATTCACCTCCAAATTCAGAATTTGTAAGTTCATATATTTTGATGTATTGAACGCCGGAACATGCAGTATTTGTAAAAGTCTGGTTTTGTTCTTGTTATAGCGTTATGCACAGTTAAATATATTTGTCTAGAAAATGTTCAATATAAATTTACAATATTTATTATTATTAATATTATTATAGTTATGACAAATAAGGAAAAACTAATTTTAAAAAAAGAAGCTTACATTATGTTGCCCCCTGTTTTCAGTCAGTCTTGTGGTTAGGGTGTTGACCTGGTGCTCTAGGTCATGAACCTTGACCTCATTCTTCCTCCTGTCCCTCTCCAGATCCTGGACCTGGTGTGCAAGCTGCTCTATCACCTACAATGTAAAATGGTAATAAGAACATATAAATAGAAGTCAAAATGATTCCTGATGAACTGATTTTGGATATTAAGCATATTAATGCCAAATGAATACTGTACCAACCCACCTGTATATATATATAGTTGTACTTCTTCAACTCTTGTTTATAGGTAATATTACCTCTGTGACCTTTCAAAAGATCAACCTAAAATCTAACCATATCAATCATTAAATTACGTTAATGCAAATTTAAAGTAAGTTTGAGCATGATAATCCATGAGATATTATTATGATGAGACTTAAAAAAACACCTAGATTATACCTTAGTCACACCGCTAACCTGACTCCAAACTGCCCCATTCTTAGCCATTGGAAGCAATACAATCTACTGATAACATTGATTAACCTAGCAAGTGGACAATAGTTGATTAGGCTCTAACCCATAGTCTTATAGACAACAAGTAAAAATATCCCTGAGAAGTTATGTAGGCCAACAAAAAATAATTAGTATTTAACAAAGATTATATGGTAGGGGTTCTTTTTTGTTATTTTTTTCTCGCTTCCCATGACCAGCTAACATCAAAAGTTAGTGAGTAGCTCTTTGTCATTCAAGCTTATTAAAATAAAATAAATTAAATCAAGCAATTTGATGAAAGAATTAATATTGATATTTGGCAACATAAAACTATGTGCATTGTCAAAACTAATGATGCCTGAAGACAGTTTTATGATTTAAATGTTTAAATTCAGTCCTATCTACCTTATTCTGTCTCTCCACTTTCTCCGAGAGAATTGCTACCAGCCCAGTAGATGGCGCACTGTGTCGGTACAACTCGTAACTTGGGGAGGTACTCGTCATAATGGCCGAAACTGGACGCTCTTTGTTGTTGTTTTTCAGCCTGATCTTCGGAACGCCATTGCTTAAGTGCTCAGTTGGCTCTGAGAAAGAAAGAAAGACACAAACATAATAAAGAGCTATTCCACTGTGCGCAGTCAACAATTATGCATCTGTTGTCCATACCATCTTCACAAATGCACATTTAACCAGAAGCATATTACTGTAAGTACTGTGAAATTTGTAACAAAGAACATATACTGACAACTCCTGTTTTTCTCTCCGAAAAACACTGTTCTCTTTTCAAATAAAAATGTCCTTGAAAATTTTGATTCTACAAATGAGCTTCTTAGATGGAAAGATGGACCACCTGAAGACTAAATGCTTTCAGCAAATCTTTTATTACTATCATTATCCAAAAATCTAATCAGATCTTCTTCCCAAAGAGAAATTGTTCATGCCTAATTCTGAAAATCTCCAACTGAAGTTGGTCTTGTCCAGGAACATATCAAGTCTAATATTCCATAATTTACAATCGTTTTGACTGTTGTTGGACATTAAGCATGTTAATGCCTTGATGAATACTGTTCCAACCCACCTGTATAGTTCTACTTGTTCAACTCTTGTTTTCAGGTAATATTATCTCTGTTACCTTTCAACAGATTAATCTAAAATCTAATCATATCTATAATTGCAATGTGGTAAAACCATTTCAATTAAAAAAATGTAAATTACCTGGAGGAGAATCTATGAGAGTGCTGTCTATGGGCTTGTACCTTGCTGGATCAAGGCGATTCTATTTGATATAGGATGAAAGAAAAGATTATTTAAAAATTATAAACAGAATAATATAGGTAACTGTAACAAATATTTTTTTAATTGCTGAATATGCAGGAATCTAACTAAGAAAAAGAGCCCTTCTCAACATGTGCACATTCAGCAATTTCGAACAAACAACGCTCTATATCATGAATATTCATATTTGTTGCGCTGCTACCACACATGCGTACTTTCTCTTTGCCATGTTGAATCGACGATACAACAAGGATGAATCGTCGGGTTAAGGACGAAGAATCAGCTTTTTCCCATCAAAGACTTCTTCTTCTTCTTCCTAATGATAGTTGGACGGATGCCCAGAGAAATTGTAAAACATTGTAAGTCAAAATTGTAGTTACTACCTCTTTACATTTCGAAAAAATGGGACCCAACCCGTTGTATGAAAAATCATTTTCATATGCGGGCTCCCACCCCCCCCCCCCCCAGGGGGTCGGAATGACCGCATGCGTGTTACCAAAATGTCCGGTAAACGGGTACTTTTCATGCACCAAAGTCCGGCTCCTACATACACAAAACTGACTTTACACACCGGACTCAGGGGGTGTTTTCAAAAGGAGGGAACACGCATATGCGTACCCTAAATAACACAGAGTGGGGGGGGGGGGAGCCGGGTGCTCGCTCCACGTAGAACTCCATGCGCAAAACGTTCATTCGATCTCGGCGAATATATCGCAGTCTCATTTTACTAAATTAGCGCAGACAATTTAAGGGCCCTTCTTATTGGCTATAGCTGGCTTCCATACATTCACTCAATGTTATACGCAATTAAGTTAGTTAGTTAGTTAGTTAGTTAGAAGCAATTAAGCTTGCGATTTTCTGTTTCATTCAATACCAAAATTATGATATTTCAGTCAAACCCTCGACTAGCTATTTGTTACAATTTTTTCAGCATCCTTAAAAGGTTTTAAGTCTATTAGATCTAGAGTCTATGTAACTATTTTCAAAGTTTGAACAATTCTCATTTTCGTCATATTTAACCCGTTCCTTCCGAAATTATTTAGCCTGATAGCCACCCCACAAACGAGATTAAAAATCGAAAACTCGACTCCTTCGCTGCCGAACAATACCGTGCGACTGTTCAGCGCGCGGAACAATGATTGTGCGTTGAAGCGACCTAAAGCCTGGCCAGTCGCTTCGACGAGCAGGAACTTAGCGCATGCGCAGATCATTTGGCAATCTGCCGTGCTAAGTTCTTTCAGCTCTTCCGTACTGTAGGTTGTTTTTCTTCGTTATCTTTTTTTCCTCTTCTACCTACTTATTTTGTTCTTCTTTTTTCTCCTCCGTATCTATTTTTTTCCTTGTCACTCTTATCCCTCCTCCTTCTTCTTCTTCTTTTCCTTCTTCCTATACTCTTTTTTTATTTTGATACTCGATTTTATGAGAAAATACACAGTATATTAAAGTAAACTATTTCAATGTAAGTTTCTGTTGCATCAAATTTAATTGAAATAGTTTATCAGCCAAAATTGACTGTTATAATTTACGTCTGACAATATAATGTAGCGAAAATATGTAAACATGATCAAATGAAACTTGAATCCAGAACGGGGGGGGGGAGAGGGGGAGGTGAAAGGAGAGCCAAAATAGCATACTAATAAATACAGTACAGACTATATAACGATGCGCCCAACTTTCTCTCTCTCTCTCTCTCTCTCACTCTATAAAAACCGTTCATTATACTTTATCTCTCTCATACTGTTTTCTGTTCCACGATTTCCGAAAGCACGTTTCGACATAATAAATAAGAATTGTTAAAAGTAAGAGTTTGGATATAAAAACATCTCTTATGCAAAAAATAATATGACACAATCTTTTTTGACAGAACTAATATACGTCGGACGAAGGAAATAACTCCTTGGTCGGACATTATACTTTAGCGAATTTTGTTTAATTTGTTTTATTTGTTTTAAAGAACTAAAGAAACATTCTGAATGGGGGGGGGGGTTGATCAGATAGACAACTAGTATAATAATAAATACAGTACAGACTACGTCCAACGTTCTATCTCTCTCTCTCTATCTGTCAATGTTGTTCCGCCATTTGCTTGTATGCCGGCATCATTCCTTCTTTGAGATAAATTATGATAACATACCCATGATGATGAAAACATACATCTTAAATACTAGGGAAAAAAAATAGAGAACGAGCGGCTGATAATGTCAAAATGAATATCACTGTACACAAATTATAGGAAGTAAAAGTTTTGATTTTGAATGTAAGTCTCTGTTGCATCAAAATAAAATGAAACGTTCATTATATCGACGGAAATAATATACATCAGACATTATACTTTACCACAAAAGGGTCATCTAGAAGTAGGTGGATAACATTATAAGAGAAAGAAGAGAAAGAATGAAACTTTTTTTAAAAAACAGAAGAATAATGGAGAGGGAGACAAGGACACATACACAATAAATAAATATAAACAAGATAGGATTCTAGAGCGGAAGATGATATAGGGGAAACGAAATAGTTCGGAAGTATTGCCTAGAGAGCAAAATAATTATTCTGTTTTATTTACTAATGTAAAGCGCTTTGATCATGTTTTATGTCAAGGCGCTATATAATATCAATATGTATGGATATATTGGCAAATTTCGACAAATTATAGTTTGTAAGTATGAATTGACAAAGTACGTACAAATACAAATGACACAGAAATGTCTGCAAGTATTTGGGACCTATATAGAATATGTGAAAAGAGCTTTATCTTTGTCTTTGGCCCATGATCCCACAACTTAGTTACGTAAGAGGAACAAAGAACGTTGACGGATGTAAAGGTTGTTGTCATGGTTATAAACCCCAACAATAGAAGAGCGGAAGTAAGGTAAGGGTATAATTGAATGACAATGACCTGGCTTACAGCATTGATGATCCTACATGTATAACCCTGGTTTTTTTGTGTGTGTCTTTGGGGGAGTGGGGTCTTGTTGTTTTTGCAATCATTCAAAGATAATATCAATCATACAAGATAAAGGAATGAACAAGAATATATGATATGCTAAAATGTAACAGACAAAAAGATGATGATGAGAAATGATTGTTTCTATCTCTTTTTTTTCTTCTCTTTTTCACTCTCTTTATGTGTGTCTCTCTCTCTCTCTTTCCTCTCTCTATCTCTCTCTCTCTCTCAAACTCTCCACTTTCTCCCTCTCTCTCCGTCTGTCTCTCTGTCTATCTGCCAATGTTGTTCCGCCATTTGCTTGTATGCCGGCACCATTCCTTCTTTGAGATTAATTATTATAACATAAAATTATCCCTGATGATGTACATTATTATACCTTATATTTATTATAGGGAGCGAAAAAGAAAACGAGCGGCTGATAATGTCAAAATGAGAAGAATATTACTGTACAATATTTATACAAAATACAAACTTTGAATGTAAATCTCTGTTGCATCAAACTGATATAAACAAATTGTTATTATGCTATATTGACGGTACTATTATCCGTCGGACATTGTGCTCTAGCCAAAAGATATAAACAAACAAAAAAGAGAAAAACTAAAGAAAACATCTGAGGTTTGTGGGGGGGGGGGGGGGTAGTCGGTGAGAAAAATATCATAATAATAAATACAGAACAGACTACGTCAAACTTTCTATCTATTCTGCCCCCGCCCACCCTCCTCTCTCTCTCTCTCCCTCTCGCTGTCTCTCTCTCTCTCTCTCTCTCTCTATCTCTCTTTCTACGTTGTTTTCCATCTTCATCTTTCATGATGTTGTCTACTATTCCGCCATTTACTTGCATGCCGGCATCATCCTTTCCTTGAGATTAATTATTATAACATATCCCTGATGTTATACGTCAGACATTATACTTTAGCGAAAAGAAATAATCAAACAAAAAAAGAAACGTACACAAAAGAAAAACAATCAGAGCTGGGGGGGGGGGGATCGGAGATAACTTTCTATCTCCCCCTCTTTCTCAAATAATTTATATCTCCTCTCACATATACCTTAGTATAGGGAACGCTATAGAGAGTGAGCGGCTGATAAAGTCGAAATGAGAAGAATATTACTGTCCAATACTTATAAAAGTAAAACTTTTGAATGTAAATCTATGTTACATCAAACTGCTATACAAAAATGTTTATTATGCTATATTGACGTTACTATACGTCAGACATCATACTTTAGCCAGGAAATATAAACAAACAAAAAGAGAGACAAACTAAATAATAAATCTGAGCTTTGAGGGGGGGGGGGGGGGGGGGTCGGTGATACAAAATGTCATAATGATAAATCCAGCATACACCTGATCAAAACTCGTTTTCGGAGACTAAATCGAGTACAACCTCGCGATCTTGCTTTAGACTTATAATACTGCTTGTTGTTGTTGACAATAGAGAGCTGACCTTTGGATTTTCCTTTCATGTGCAGTGAAGTGCATTGTTCCGCGCGTGCCGCGTGCCGTTATAGGCTTTGGCTTTGCGCTGCTCCCAATTGAAATACCAGCAGTATTGGTATTCTGTGCATGGAAGGTCTCAGCGAAAGTCAATATCTGTGGGACAGACATCGCGGAGCTCCAATACGCTGCTGTACGAATTTCATGTGAGAGAAAACTTGACATGCTTATGAAAAAGTACAAATATAATGAGTAATATTAAAGTAAACAAAACAGGAGTAATGGATAATGATAGCATATACTTTGGATAAACCCTCACATCCACTAGTTTAGTGAATTAATGGCAGGGAAAGGCAATTTTAGGCTTGTAAAGACGTCGTCTACCTGCCTATTATGGGAACCTGGTATACCAGGTTCCCGTCTGTGAGTAGGCTCCACGGGAGCCTGGTATACCAGGTTCCCGGAAGGAACGGGTTAAGGTACAAACTGGAAATTTATTCTGAAATGCTTGTTGATTTTTTCTATTTTATATCTGTGGGCAATATGGGTGCGTCAGTTATGTGAGAAGTGCGTCACCTGTTTAAAGCATGACATGTCAAAATGTGTGTGGTGTGACGTAATATTACGTATTGACATTGCCATTAAACTTAAGTTGCGCTTAAGTTAAGTAGGCCCTATCTAACTTAAATAATGAGAGCGTGTAAACTCACTGTAGACCTACAGCGCTCAATGCACAAAGTTCTTTGTAGGCTTTGGCTGGAGCTCCAACGTATGGTGGTGTGACCAAAGTTCACGCATGACCGAAGACGAAGTTCGCCATCTCAACAAATCAGTAAGATTTCAAAAATCTGATACCACCAATGGAAAGAGAAACACAAAATTACCCAGAGATGAAATTTTCTTTGGAATTGGGTATGAAATTGTGAAAATATTGACAAAAGATCAGCAAATTTTGCAATCTTTTGCGTCCATTCCGAAAAATGATCAACTTACCGATAAGGTCTGAAAATCTTCAACTTGAGAGAAAACTTCCTCAAAATTGTAAGTAAAATGTGGTACCAACTGATTGAAATTGTGTAATATCTTTGCCTTGCAAATTATGATATTACCTTAATTTTGATGGATCAAATTTTGTCGCTAGTGTGGTTCCATATCCATTTTTTTTAGCAGTTTCATATCCATTCTTAGCAAAGGAATTTTAGCTCAATTTTTTACTAATTTTAATCATAATCATATATTGCATTTTCCACCTGAATTTGGATCACATCCGGCATCGGGAAGCCTCCGTTTAGGGCTTTGATGTCGACGTCGTCGCTCAGTACAGTCTCCGCGCTATAGCTTTGCAACTCAAACTGAAGCTATCAGTCTAAAATTATGCAAGCTTCTCGTATAGTTTATGGTATCGTGCATGTGTGTAATACCATAAAGCATACGCAAAGTTTGCATTGCAATAGGCCTATATGATTATGATTAAAATTAGTAACAAATTGGGATAAATTCCTTTGCTAAGAATCGATATTAAACTGCTAAAAAAACTGCTTAAAAAAATGGATACGGAACTACACTAGCGCCCACATTTTTTGATAAATCAACTGTAAACCCCTGTGCGTGAAGTTAAGTCTCGTTGTTTTTATGACTTTTTTAGATGCAGTGCGCACGCACGATCGGACATCAAATTTTAAGATCGCGATATCTCCAAAATCCTTCGAACGATAAAATTTTCTAGTTGAACCAATCTGTAGTAAAAAACTTTGCCGTCCATTTGGTAATAATCGAAATAAATAAATTTGTGTAGAATATGAGAAATCATAGATCGAAAATCACATTTTGAAATATATGTTCTAAAATGTCCGCGAACTTTGGTCACCCCTTCATACGCCTTCGGCGTCGGCGTCGGAGCTCCCTGGCTGGAGTTCATGCACAACAATATTATACTAATTAACAATCACGTCACATCGCACTCGGAAATAAATGTTATATTTACCCTCATTCGGCTTAGATTATCTTCTGTTTCTCTCATGGTATTAGTAAAATTGCGTTCCCAGTCACGAGACATGGTCTCATCTAGGTATATTCTCTTGAAGAAGTGTTAAATTCATCAATTTCTGAGCTCCCTAATAAGTTGTTTCGAAAGAACTCAACTTGACAACAAGATGCGGTGCTATGGAATGCCAAATATCAATCAATTAACGTAGACTATATTATTGCGAATGTTTGAATAATATAGACAACATAAAAAGACATTGCCGAGAAAAAAAACATTGGTCCAGATTATCAAAATTCAATGTTTTATGTGATATTTAATGTATTTTCTCCTTCATTTAAACATAAATAATCATAAAAATATTGTATGACAATAGCTTATCAAGCGGCGCATGACATAGTCTAACTTGATTTCATAAATTGAATAACTAAATTAAAATTTAAAAATAAATTAAAAATAAAACGAATAAATACATGAATGAATAAATAAATGGATATGGATAGATACATAGTGTTGTGGTACTATATGAACAACATCAATAGTTCATTGATGTGCGTAATGAGGCCGCGATTGGCGGAAGGATACATGAATAAAGCACTTTCAAGATGGCCACTTATACATGAACCTTGTCTACAGTGATCTCTTATTTATCCGTTCATCTGATCTTTCAACATGGTGGCAGCGGTCAAAAGAATTGCCATATCTATTACTATTGAACTGCAGATCACATAGGGCAAGCAATAATCTTGAATGACTTATGAAAGATTGATAAGGGACGGTTTTTGAACTGCCGACAATCACACTGCACAGCCAGCAGAGTAAACTCACAGCCGCGTCTCCAATATGACTTTGTGTCGGCGTAAGGTTGCGCACTATATTACGCGGGAAATTCGAAACACTACGAGTAGACTAGTGTATTGACTGTCAGACTAAAGCCCTATACATTCAGGACCAGAACTGATGCGGAGGCAGAACCAGAGCCTAGAGGCTCGCCAGGAGCAGAGCCTAGAGGCTCGTCAGGAGAAGAGCCTAGAGGCTCGACAAGACCAGAGCCTAGAGGCTCGACCGGGACCGGGAACAGTACAGCTCTAAGGCCGCTACCTCGGACTTCCAGCCCTGCACTGCATTATGGTTTTGGAACTAGCCGCCACTCGGACCCAGAGCGTCGTGTTGCGGACCGTGCAAGTAGATCCAGGACTGATTGCTGGACTTGGCCGGATCTGATTTTGGAATGAAAACTAGATTAGACTCTCAATCAAATGGACTATAATCTAAGCAGACATATAATGTTTGGACTCGGTTTGAAACAATTAAACCATAATTAATGTGCTTTGTTTGTCGTATAAAACTGGACTAGTAGAGTCTAGACTAGTCTAGTCTAGGGGTCTAGATCAAGACCTAGCCTAGATAGATAGTCTAGACACTTTTTTCTAGTCTAGAATCCACTTATGGATCTAGACTAGACCGAGTATGAGAATGAGTAGACTATGACTAAGATATAAAGGTGTAATTTGATCAAAATCTACTTTCACCTTGTTCTATATTACTGGACCTGGTCTAGATCTGGACTAGGCCTAGTCTAGATTTCTAGATGTGTTTACTTTAGACCTTAACAAGTCCAATTTCTACATGTGGACCTGTCCTAATTAAGTGAATGATACACACATATCTCTTACATGTATGTAGAAGTGCTGATGTACTATTACTAACTTCGATCTAGATCTAGTGGTGGTAGACTCTACTGCCACTTAATTGTACTAGACCCTATAGACCAAACAGTGGTCCGTGGTATCCCCTTAAAGCGGGTCCAGGACCAGTTGTCTTTGCTAGACCACTTACACAAGGGGGTCTAATTGTCTATGGGTCTAGACTTGATATATTTTGATACATTTGAACCTACATTTTGAAGTTGTACATATAGATCTAGTCTATAGTGTAAATGTTAATTGCTATGTAGGCCTACATGTCGATTTTAGTCACAATTCATGTATTACACGTAATTACCTGTGTAGTCCAAGACCCCATTGTAGAAACCAGGACCATGGCTCGCTATCCAGAGATGAAGTGGGACCCTCAGTGTGGTCTCGCTGAAGAATTCACGTTATTTCAACAGCGAATGGAACTTTGCCTTCTCGATAATGAGATAACTGATACTACAAAACAGGCAACAAAAATAAAGATAGCTCTTGGGAACGAAGGGTTACGCAGGATAAACGCCTCTAGCCTCAGTGTAGAGGATCAGAAGGACCCAAGCAAGCTATGGGCCCTAATCGAAGGCCAACTGAATGTCAAAGTGAACTTCAGGATTCATCGTCTCGAATTAATGCGATACAAGCAGATGTCTGGAGAAACGATCGACGAGTTCGTCAATAGATGTCGGAGTAAGGCAAAGGAATGCAAGTTCACCGAGGGGGAATTGAGTGAAAGACTCATAGAGCTGGTGATTTCGTCTACACAACTCGAGTCGTTTCAGAAAGACCTACTCGACAAAGAAAAGGGGTTCTCAATTGATAAGCTTCTTGAAGAAGGCCGCAAATATGAGGCCATTCAAGTCGGTAAACAGTGCCTGCAGACGCTCCACACCATTGGAAGTGGGAACATTGATGCTGTTAGTCACGACAGTAGGCAGAAATGCAGGAACTGTGGTCTTTCACACCTTCCAAAGAGGTGTCCAGCCTTCGGGGACCTGTGCAATTCGTGTGGCGTCAAAGGACACTGGGCGAAGATGTGTCGAAAGACGAAGGAACAGGTCAAACCGAAGATCCCTCCTAGACGTCCACCATCACAAGACAGGTGGAGCTCACAGCAGAGACAGCCCAGAAACAGGCAGTATAGGCCTACATCCTTTCATAGCAGGAACCAGCGTAAGGTTGACGAAATTGGACCGGACGACACAAACCAACCGGACAGTGGGGAACGTGAATTCCACATGATACATATATCGCTAAACTCTATTGACTCGGAGGAGACCGAAGCATATGCGAGTATCAACATCATATGTCCAGACCTGAGGGGTCATCATCGCCTCAATGCAAAGGTTGACACAGGAGCCAGCGGTAATGTTCTGCCACTGCGGACGCTGAAGGACATGTACAGGGCTCGATGGAAAGATGTTATCCGTCCCACTACTACGCGACTATCTGCCTACGGAGAAACGCCTTTACGCTGCTTAGGCACCTTGATGATGTCGATGATGTATGAAGGGTCGCCTTGGGTCGTAGACCAAACATGGTATGTTGCGGACGTAAAGGGACCAGTCATTGTCGGACTTCCTACTTCCAGAAAGCTAGGGATTGTTACGATTCACACAGTAGAACAACAGACGGGCCTGGACAGTCCAAATGATCTTCCTCCCATCAGGTCAGCTAAAGACCTACAGGCGGCTTACCCAGACCAGTTTGACCAGATTGGGAACTTCAGTGGCAAGGCAACGTTGCACTTGAAGAAGGATGCAACTCCATCAATTGATGCGCCTCGAAAATGCAGCATCCACCTGAGGGACAAGCTCAAGAAAGAGCTGGATCAGATGGAAAGTAACGGCATCATTAGGAAAGTTACTCATCACACGGATTGGTGCAGTTCCCTCACCACAGCCCTGAAGAAGGATGGGTCATTGCGAGTCTGCCTTGACCCCAAAAGGCTCAATCAAAACCTGAAAAGATGCCCTCACAAGATTCCAACTCTAGAGGAGCTCAATCCTGCATTCTCACAGGCCAAGTACTTCTCGAAATTGGACGCAAAGGCAGGATATTGGTCAGTCCACCTGGACGAAGAATCGCAGGAGCTTACTACATTCAGATCACCATTTGGAAGGTATTGCTTTCGCAGACTTCCATTTGGACTTTCGGTGAGTCAAGACATCTTTCAACAAAGGATGGACACAATCCTTGCACAGGCGCCAGGCTGTGAAGGTATAGCTGACGACATAGCTGTATTTGGCAAGACTGAACAGGAGCATGATGATAATCTCTGGAGACTGATGGGAGTTGCACAAAAAGAAGGTCTGGTGTTCAACAGTACAAAGTGTGTGATCAAGGCGAGAAGCATCAATTTCTTTGGTTCACTGTACACAGACAAAGGCATACAACCAGATCCTAGCAAGTTGGAGGATGTCAGAGAAATGCCTACACCACAGAACAAGGACGATCTCCAGCGAGTGTTAGGGATGATGACCTATTTATCACCATACATCTCAAACTATGCTGAAAAGTCAGCAATACTGCGTGATCTTCTGAGGAAAGATGTTCCCTTTACCTGGCAGGAGGACCATGAGGAATGCTTTCAACGATTGAAATCAGACATTTCAGAAGGAAAGTGTCTACGGTACTATAACCCCAGTGTCCCAACAGTACTAGAGGTAGATGCATCGCTCAAAGGACTTGGAGCCTGCCTCCTTCAGAATGAAAGACCAGTCGCATTCGCCTCAAAGAGTTTGTCAGATGCACAATCAAACTACTCAAACATCGAGCGAGAGACATTGGCACTTGTTTTTGGGATCACACGTTTCCATTCATATCTGTTTGGTAACCAGTTCACAGTCTACACTGACCACAAACCACTCGAAACGATCTGTAGAAAGCCCCTGGGGAGTGCGCCTCCAAGATTACAGAGGCTTCTCGTCAAAATACAGGGCTATGATTGTGATATCCTATACAAGCCCGGAAGTCAGATGACATTACCAGACACACTCAGTAGGTTGCCAAACCCCAGAAAGAGAGGAGACGTCATCGTTGAGCTCCATGTAGATGAAGTCATGGAATTAGAAGAGAATCATGACAATGATCTGGCAAGCTTCACACCTATGAAGCAGACACAGCTGCAGAGAGAGACAGCAAGCGATCCAAACTTGAAGCAGCTGAGTAGAATTATTCACGATGGATGGCCAGACGTGATTAAGCAGGTTCCAAGCAGCTCAAGGATTCACTGGTCATACCGAGAGGAACTGGGTGTCGCCAACGGCATTATCTTCAAAGGAAGACAGGTGTTGATACCTTCAACGCTGCAATCAGACATCCTGGAGCAGCTACACACGAGTCATATGGGTATAGAGAGAACTCGTAGACTAGCAAGGGACACGGTATACTGGCCAGGCATCAATAAGGATATTGAAAACCTTGTCAAGACTTGCCCTGCTTGCCAGGAGAACCAGGATCGGCAACAAAGGGAACCACTACAACCGCACGAAGTTCCAATG